GGCACGCAAATTCCCTTATTGGGAACAGGGCGAAAATTAGGCAACTTCTTTGAGGTCGAATTATACTGTGCACTACCATACCTCCCCTTGGCTTGATTTTGCAGCAGATAATGTACATTTGATGTCAAAGATCCACTTCCCATGTTCACGATTATTCTACAAGGTGGCTGACAGGGTGTTGCATAAAAACATGCAGTCACAAATTTCACGCGGCCTTGTTTGTCCTTGTAAAAACCTAAGGATGGCGTGATAAAGGCAAGGCCCTGGGTGAATGAAGGCCTACAGCCATCACTGTAGTCAACATATCTCGGTATTTTTGTGGGATTCTGGTTGTCTCTTTCCAAAACTTTTATCAGCCAATATTCCAGGCCTCACTGCATCTAATATTATATTCCTTTATTTCTGCCTCTTCACAATTTCAATAGGAGCTTTCTGACCTGTCAGAAATAAATTCCAAAGTTCTCTCTAATGAGTGTCACAGTGACACAACCTGTTCTAGAGATCCTGGGTGTAAACACTGTGGACTTTGCTATGGTGCTTATGTGGGGCACCCGAAAAGTTGACAAGTAGTGTAATTTCGGTCTCATTCTGCATATTTATGTCATAGGAGCACCCACCACACCTCAAACTGCCTTTATAATATATTCCAAGGATATATTTACACTGCATGATGGCACATATAGAAATTCCTGGTACCGTTTACGATACACACCGACAACTTCGGTGCAACTGATGTGCAATCCGAGGACCAAAATCTCACATTGCACAAAATATTAGCCTGAAATTGAACTTCTTTCTAGTAGTTTCAGTCCCGCTGATTTTGCACTTCATACTCATTAAATTCAGGTGCACTGGAATGGGGTTCAAACACTTTGAATCAGGTTACTACGATGAGTCAAACAAGCCACCAAAAGTACTGATATCATTAACCATTTCATTCCTCTAGAAATGCAAAAGTACAGCTTAATTTTTCTACCCTACCTGAACTGTTAGCAGAAATAATTGATTTCAGTCCTGCCAAAATTCGGACCCCCTGCCAACAAACAGATTTCAGTGCTACTGAAATCAATTCTTTCAGTTTGCAATCCTTCTGGACTGAGTTTCAGGCCCAAACTTGAGAGGTTTGGTGGACACCGAAACAAATCACCAAACCACTAGTTTAGGTATTGGTTTGAGCTGGTCTCCTTTGTAATCTGACCCATAGGATTTCAACCAGATTTTGATGTACCCAGATCACCATCTCATTTGACTAGTTCATACTACGATATGGATTGTACTGAGATTGTGAAAAAGGGTTTCAATTTCGGCTCTCATTTTTGGTAATTTGATACTTGGGGCATCAGATTGAACATCAGTTGTGCCTAAATTTGTCACTCCCCGGTGTGATATTAGGTCTCAAACACAAATGGTCATACTGACCCAATTATGTCAAAATTCGATCTGAGCTGCCGCAAAAATAAATATTTAGCCAAGTAAATAATTAAAGAAAATTGGATTCAATGAGTCAGTGTCTATGTTGGTGCAGCTCCCGAGTGTCCTCGTCCACCCTTGTTTCCATCGTCCAGACTCTGCAACCTATGGCTGACCCTACTGCCTCGCTCTACCTGATGCCAACCTGATGCAAGATTCCTGTGATCACACAGCTCAATTATCTGTCATTTCCCTCGGCATCCAATTCGCTGAGGGCCACTGTTGTCAAAGTCAAAGACGAGGGTGAAGAAAATAGCTGTCATACACCAGGATTCTAAACCCCTCTTCTTGCCCTCTGACAGCAACGGTGTCCCAATTCTGCTCGCATGTTTTAATTACATCCGGGCCATATTTCTATCCACCTTGGCAAATCCACACTCTTCGGTTGTGCTGTGCCATCCTCCTTGAACTTGGCAGACAACTTTCAGCTGGGGAAAACAATCGCTCTTAGAACCATGTCCATTGTGGGAATGCATCAAGCAAGGTCAACGAATCATTGTTTAAACAGTGAAAGGTATCAATGTTCAGTTCAGATCTTTTCCATTGAAGCCTTGGAGATATAGCAGATTGTTGCCTGAGACATGAATAAGGCTCCTGCAAAACATAGCCCCAGTCCCAAACTAGAGTATCCAGAGTAGATGGGTGTAATTGTGAAGTAATTTATTCAAAGTATGCACCAACAAAATAACCACTGCATAATTGCTCTTGAAGACAATCTGCGTTCTGACACCGGTATTTGAACCAACAATGCTGTTCATGATTCCACAATACGTCCGGACTTCCAATCATCACAGGGCCTGTCATAGTGATGTGTGATGGCCTCCAGGAGAAGGAACCAGTGTGTTTGTCTACTCCATCTATGTTATACATTTTACGAGTTTAGGAAATACCCTATTCGGAACATTGCTGTGTTCCGTTGATGGGCTGTGGCGCAGGCCAGACCCCACAGCCCTGCAGTCTTCGCTCGTGACTAGCATACTGCCTCATTCCTCCCGCAGTCACGATATCATTGGTAGATATTATTTTTTGACGTGTGACCAATGTGATGCAATATTGATTCCGAGTGGCCGGCAGATAACATCTGTAAACAGCATAGCCATGATTTCGAGAAATGGTGCGGCCTGCGGCGGTGAGCAGAAAGGCTGCGGGGTCATAACAGCTGTTGTAGTTTCTTAAGGAATCAGACAAAGTTTAGTGTAAAATTCAATGATAATTGTAGCGGTTGGCTGAGCTCTGCTGTGACTCAGACTGCGGTGCTACTGCTGGCAAGTCGGTTTGTTGCTTGGCAGACTCAGCAGTTCGTCCTCTAGGGGGAAATTTGTGTGTCTGAAGTCTCTCAATGGCAGCGGAATTCGTGTTTTATAAATGTGGTGGTGTACAAGCTACTCTGTCTCGCAATGGAGGAATCCTAAGGTCGCTGATTCCTTCCCTGTGGGGAAGAAAAGCCTTCCAGTAATGCTGCTTTTCCATTCTACACTCGAGAACGAGAGAGGTCGGCCCCGATGATAAGCAGGGAAAATAACCAGACTTGAAATCTATCAATTTCAATGTTCTTGTTCTACTTACTGAAGTAGAACAATGCTTATTATTGCTTTGCCCACAATGAGAGCCATAGTGAGGTCCGGACTGTTGGCTAAAGGCACTCCACAAGAGATTACATTGTATAGACTTGCCTGGTCACCGATACCACGAGGGTCAACGGCCAGGTGGGCTACATTGGAATTTTACGTAATTCCATGTTCAACCATTCGATCGAATTGGGACATTTGGAAAGTGTCATATATCAAGGATATAACACATACCATCCATCTAGACTGTGAATTCATGAGGGATACAGATTACAGGTCAAATCAAATCCACAGAGTTGTTGGTGCAGTTGCAAGCACAAGTTCGATATTTGTGACATATTTGGTCACTGTGACTATAATCACATGAGCCTTGATGCCTCGGAGGGCTCAGGAATCACTCAGAGACATTCGGGCTCGGTTTGGGGACAAGGGAAGGCCCTAACCCTCAGGAATTGGCATGTGAATAAGGTTCTGTTGGATGACTAAACTGCCATCAAAGATCTCGGAGCAAAAGGGCTATTTATCCGTAGGAAGTGTCCCAAGGAGTGGATGGAGTTTATCCGGGTGTAAATCTCGGAACAGAGTAGCTATTTGACCGTTAGAAGCATCCCAAAGGGGAAACATACACCATTTATCCGTAGCCTTTTATCCATCTTCTTTTATCATGTGATATGTTATTGTTTGTATAAATACAGCCAGGTCTCCAGTGGAAAGAGAGTGAATTCGCCCCTTCTTGCTAGACGTACTCAGCTCAGCTGGTATTGTCGCCTGGGAAGCCTTAGATTCATTCGGAGTACCATTGGGAACTTGTTAGTTCTTTCTGTTATTCTTGGTCAAATATATTTGTTGGTTGTTGGGTCCATGTGCACATAAAGAATCTTGAGGAAACAGAATTGTATCGGGTCGTATCGGTTTCATATCGGGCCGTATCAGGTCATATTGGGTTTCATAAGGATTTAGGAAAAGCACATGGATTGGTACACAGAACATGGATATTATAGCCGAGAACATTGAAGGAGCACAAGTCTTGAGTCTATTGACTACCAAGCACTACCCCACACCACACCATCGAGATAAAACCACTCTCTGCTTCGTCTTGACCTTATTAGAGTCTCTGGATTGGCTATTGGAGCGTTCTCAGTATTTACGTGTAAATAGCTATTACCAGATCTAGTTCAAATATCAACCTAATACTTGGTTGGAACCCCGTACTCGCACCACTCGATTGTTTGGATTAGTGTTTAGTGTTGGTTTAGTGTTTGTTAGTGCTCAGGCATTGATTGACATTATTCTACATTTCACATCTGTTCGGGCAGTCAGTGTTTCACCGATGTGATGCGGAGGGAAGCGCTGGCGCTAGTCTGGGGTATGTCGGTCCTGTTTTTAAGTCTCTGCCATCGTAATTCCCGACTTCGGAGTGTTACCAAACACAAATGTAGGGTGGGTCCATTGTGATTGCCGCTATTCCGCACAATCCCTCTCTGCTTCGTTCCTTTCTTCTGCCTCTATGGAGAATTCCCTTTTTCCGTCGAAGAGTCTGCTCCTTTGAAAGCTCTTGAATGGTGTTCCGTCGTTCTCCTGCTCTACTGTAGGACCGGGTGTCCCGACGGGGTTTTAACGACTACACACAAATACGATGGAGTCGTCTGCGGCATTGTTTGTAGTGGGAGTTCTGCTCTGCTTGGGCCTATGCAGCGATGGAGGAGGTGAGTATCGAATATGGGTGGGGTATAAGTGTCTCCGCTGCGAGGAAACGGCGGCAGAGTGAGGTGGAAGGGAAGGAAAGGTGTTCCCTTCGGTCTCGGTGACCTTAGGTTCTTTGTGTTGACTGTTCGTAAATCCTGTCAGTCATTTGTTATTACTGGATGGGATTCCATGCATTCCCTCGAGGCGGAATTGATCCTTTTTAGTCAAAGGGGATTTATAAATTGAAGAATGATCCTCTGTTTCCGTCCCTGTATTGGTTCTGTAGTGTAAGGGTTAACACGCCGCAAATGCCTTTTGAGACCAAGGATTTTCGGCAGAGACTCCGGGTTCGATTCCTGGCAGGGCCGTCTGTCTCAAACGATTCGGTTTTTATTTTTCCAATACGACTCATTTCTCACTGCAATCCTGGTGGTTGTTTCTTGTTCAGTGTCGACGGGAGGACCTTTCAAGCGGGATGTGTTTTCCAAGCCGTGGAAGCTGTTCCATAAGCGGCGGAAGTCGACCGAACGTGTTCTTTGAGCGGCGGAAGGGCTGAATTGGCAACCTAACAGTGTTTCCATGCTTTTATCGTCGACGGAATGTGTTCTCCAAACAACGGAAGGGCTGAATTGGCAACCTAACAGTGTTTCCATGCTTTTATCGTCGACGGAATGTGTTCTCCAAACAACGGAAGGGCTGAATTGGCAACCTAACAGTGTTTCCATGCTTTTATCGTTGACAGAATGTGTTCTCCAAACAACCTTTATGCCCATCGGCGCCGTAGCATAGGTGTTGCATCGCGGATTACTTCATGCACAGCAGATTGTTATCACGGATGACCCGGGTTCGACTCCCGGCGGTACCATCTGTTTTCTTTAACGTTCTGAGTATGCTCGTTGGGAATATCTCCCTCCGCTAGTTGTTTCCGTTGTCATGAGGAATATTATGAGTTGCCAGAGTTGGCGGTGGAGCCGGCTCACACTGCAAACACTTGAGCAATACAACGAAAACTGAGCTACTTATATAATACATGTCCAGTGTAACTAGAATATTCTGTATGATTCTCCAATGTTCCTATGTGTTCCTACTGACTCTGAATGACTCTCAATAAATATTCTGTGGCTCAATTCAACTCATAATCTCGGGCATGATGCTGGGTTACTCATTATGACATCAACTCCAACTCCAGCCCAGCACCATCTCTCCACACATGTGAGCAGGGAGGGAATGGGGATGAGGGCAGGGACGCTAGTGTGCCTGCCACTAGCCCTCATAAAAATGAAAGAAATGCAATGCTCCCATTGGGAGTTGAACTGACAACAACACCTGTGTAAGTTGTGAATCAGAGTGCCATGTCTTGCCAGTGATCATCCAGATCTACAGGGGCCATGATAGAAAAAACAACGGGTGTCCCATTAGGACACATCAAATTATTGCTGCTGTAGAGAGAGTGTTACCAAGCTGAGAGGAGGAGTGGTTTGTTGGATTGCATAGGCATGGGTGGCATTGTGTACTGCATAACTGAGGACCAATTAGATGCATGGCCCGGGGCAAGGTATAGCAAGCAATGGGTGAGGGACCTGAGCCGACCAAAGGTCGGGCGAGGGTTCCGAGCCTTTGATAAGTTTCTCTTTTGAAATAGTGATACCTTGCTGTAGATGTGCACATGGGTATGTATATGGATGGTATTGTTTATGGCTTAACTGAGGACCAATTAGATGTATTGCCGGGGGTGAGGTATGGTGAGCAATGGGCAAGGGTTCCGAGCCTTTGATAAGTTTCTCTTTTGAATTAGTGATATCTTACTGTATATGTGCACATGGGTATGTATATGGGTGGTATTGTGTATGGCTTAACTGAGGACCAATTAGATGCATTGCCCAGGGCGAGGTATGGTGAGCAATGGGTGAGGGACCCGAGCTAAGCAAAGGTCGGGCGAGGTTTCTGGGCCTTTGGTAATGGTGAGCAATGGGTGAGGGTTCCGAGCCTTTGATAAGTTTCTCTTTTGAATTAGTGATACCTTACTGTAGATGTGCACGTAGGTATGTATATGGGTGGTACTGTGTATAGCTTAACTGAGGACCAATTAGATTCATTGCCCAGGGCGGGGTATAGTAAGCAATGGGTTCCAAGCCTTGGATAAGTTTCTCTTTTGAATTAGTGATACTTTTATAGAGTGAGAGGTTTGATGTTCCCTTTTGTTGCTATATATATAATAAATATAATAAGACGGATTACATGTCTGGGTGCTCATGGTTCAAGATGATCAGCTGGCAGACATATATTTCCTGTGAAGTGGTACACAGCTGTTGTGGGTTTGACTCCCACTGGGGGCCTACAAAAAGATGAGTAGTGGGTGACTTCCTCTAAGGTAGATATATTCCTACAGAATATTTTGGGGTGATGCTAGGAGAGCTGTCAGGACCCCATCACTTCGATCACCCACAAATGAACCGATTTTATCTTGAATGACCCCAAAGAAGGGGGGAGCTACCGCCCCCCCCCCCCTCCATAATTTGTGTTTCCCAAATAAAGAAGACACAAACGATGCAAATACAGTATTTCACTGACCAATGACACAAACAAATAAGATTCGGCCTATGTGCTCTTTGACATTCACTTTGGGAAACATCAAGTCAGCCAATAGTTGAAAGTATGCCTCTGGAATGATATGGTATAATTTGGGATTCTCCTGAGGGGGGATAGTGGTCAAACAGGTTAAAAAATGTTGTATCATTGACCAGTAAGCCTGAAATTAGTGCCAAACAATGGCCAAGCAATCACTTTGTTTCCCTCACATCTCAAGATTTAAAGGATGTATCAACACAAATTCCATCCATTACTTGTTCTACAGACCTAATTCACCAGGGAAACACCGTTCCAGACCAAGAGGTTCAGCACAGCTCGAGAAAAAAAGCGTGTTATTGAGCGGTTTGTGCCATTGACCAGTGATATACTGTATCTGTCATATTGATGTCATTACTGGCAACCTCAGAAATTCTGTTGGAATACATTTACCTTATGGGAAGTCAGCTAGTTTTTTTTTTCTTTCATTATATACAGTGAAATTTTAAAATGTGTTGAAAACATGTGTTGAGAGAGAATTCCCAAGAAAAAAAATGTTGGGAAATGGCGTAAGCAGGGAGGGGGGAAGAAGTTCATGTGGTGCATCAAATTCCCATGGTCTACTCTCGTGGATCTGTGGCATCGTTCAAGAGTTCTTTTCTTTCCAGAAGTTGTTGTTACTTCTCCTGTAGGATCAGGCGATACTGGGGATATTTTATAAAAAAGTGCGGCAACGAGAAGTCAGGCGGTTTTGTAATTGGACCGGTCAGTTAGAGGAAGATTTTTTATAAAACATCTGCAGTACTCACCTCCTGCCGTAAACAGGGCCCCTCCCAGCGGCGGCATCGTTTGCCCGCCAGATCAGGTGGGTGGCAGTGCTGCCTGCCTGCTGACCGCCCGCCCTCCCACCACTCAAAATTTGTTTGCGCCGTGCTTGTAGCTGCTGTTGATATATCATTGTTAACATGCAAGTAGTTAGTTTATAGAGTTTATAGTCATATAAGCCTACCCTCATCTTGGCAACAGCGGGCACGGCCTTGCGGATGAGAACTCGGCCTCGCGCCCATCGTTTAGGGCAGCATTTGATGGGATTAGTCATTGTATGCTCATGTTATCAATCAATGCGGTGCGGCACCGCTGCCGGGGAAATTTGATGATCAGCGCTTTTCTCCGCGATCATTGCTCAATAGGGGTCATTGCCAAATAGGGGGTCATCACCACTATTGGCCGCCCCTCAGCTTCAATCATCATTCTAATATAGCATGACTAATGTAAACGACTAGTTTCTACCAATATTGAAATTAACCATCTATAAAAGCCAGCCCCAGCTCGCAATTTATTCCTGCTGCCTGCCCGGGCGGCCGGCGGCGCCCTGGACTCTGGCGCCGCAGATCCTGGCGCACAGGTGACAGGGTGGCACGGCTAGCACCTTTGCAGTTTTAGAGCCAGGAAATGCTTCTGTTGGGCATTCACACAATTTTTTGGTGTGGCAATTGTAGCCAGTTGGAACCAGTGAGAAAAAAACCGATAGCTCGGGAGGAACAGTTTGAGGACAATGTTATAGGGTATACAAGGTGTCACATGAGTCAATAATCTTTACTGACTGTCATCGATCCGCACGCCAACGGAAGATCATTCAGCGATTACACGAGGTATACTATGTGGGCTATCAATGTTCTTAGGGCCGAATAATGTGTCAGCCCAATATTTATATTTACCCACCCTTGGCTCAGATAGCATCCCTCAATCATCGCAGTCCTTCATCAGGTATATCTGAAGATTCTGTCCTCAGTTTCGCGAGCATTCAAATCAATTACCTTTGAATTGTTGGCTGAATGTCGGAATATACCGTTTAGGCGCCTACGGCGCTTATACATGTTCATGTGTGCAATACCTCGTTCCCATTTTTGGGGGCAACCATATTGTCCTTTTCACATCTCTATCAGTTTCTTGATGGCAAAATAGCAATAAGATCGACAATTAAGAAGCAGAATACTCATAAATGTTCAAAAGGTAGGCCACGGAAACCAGGTCCATATTCTTTCTTTTTGGACCCTAATTTCACCTCGAGAGATGCAGGATTGTCTGGGTCATTAGCGCTGTCCAAAATATTTGCGATATTTGCTCTGTCTACCAGCAAATTGGGCCGAAGATGCTACACATTCAAAGACACTGTATCCCGGTTTGGCGCCATAGATTGCATGTTTCCAAGGTTCCTGGACAGTAGATACCCCTCTCAAATATGTTCATTGGAAGTAAATGCAACATCCCGAGGGGTTTCTTGCACCTGGAAAATTTGGTAGTTCGGAGGATTGTTCAAGATTCGGTACGTCCTATTGTGGTATTTTGGGAATTTCGTGCTACGGAGAATCGCAATGGTAAATAAATTACCTATATTTTCTCGGGTGATTGGCCATTCCATGAACATATGCGCCTGTAGACACGATATACAGTGTTTGATCTGTGATAGAGCCCCCTGGGCGTATTTACCATCCGAAATGCCGTGTTCCCAATACACAAAGTATCCCCGAATTGCTGATTTCTTTTTCCCGGAGCATTTTAGAGTTAAATACAAGAGTTTCTGTGTATTCAGAATTTGCGCTGGGTCCTAGATCCGCTCTAGCAATGCAGTTTTTGGTCTTCCCCATGAAGAAATTACGGTGTTGAACAGGTTCGCTTGTGTTTTTGCGATGCAAATGACAGTCGAATGATTCCATGCTTCCATACATGTGTATTTTGGTGTCTGAGCCACGAAAGGGCCCTGTGCGCCTATTTCCTGCACGGTATACGGTGTTCCCAATAT